GATAGATAGATAGATAGATAGATAGATAGATAGATAGATAGATAGATAGATAGATAGATAGATAGATAGATAGATAGATAGATAGATAGATAGATAGATAGATAGATAGATAGATAACTATCCCACAGAACTGCACTAGAGCACAGGCAGAGTTCTGACTCCTGTCCTCTGAAGATGCCAGTCACAGAGACTGGCGAAATGTTAGGAAGAACAGTCTTCAGAATACGGCCAAAGAGCCTGAAAAACCTACAACCACCATCGGATCCCTGCTGTGAAAGCCTTTAAGAATAAAGAGAAAAGTGCTTATGTAGTTGGTGTTCTTTTTATATTTCAGAAATAAGTTGATTGTTTGGTGTTGATGCAACCGTATGAGCTTTGTAACAGGATATTTTGATTTCTGTAGCCTTATGCAGATCCAGAAGTGTGAGCTGGTCTTAATTCATACTTATCCTGTTGGTGAGGATAACCTTGTATCAGATCATCTTAAAAAAGAGGTAAAACTGCTAAATTACTTTGTAGCCCTGCAATGGCAAATTGTTTTTTTTTTTATTTTATCTAAGCATTTACTTCACATTATACCTCCAGTATTGTATAAAGAAGTCTTGATATAATCCAGGGTTCTTAGCACAAAGGTGTGTGAGAGAAAACCTTTGGCTAGAGAATCTGTATGTCATAGGGACAGGGAAAGTGTGAGAGCTGTGGGTTAACAGGGTGCATGTGAGGGAATCTTGCAAAGGGAGTGAAGGATGCAGAAAATATACTACTCCACAGATTTGATTGTGTTTTAAAGGTTCAGATTTAAATATTGTATACTTAATAAATCAGTGATAAGATAGATCTAAAACTTTCGAGGTGAATCAAGATATTCTTGCTTTTTCATATGATACTTTACCATTTTTGCTACAACTGAGTATTCTGTGTGTGTGTGTGTGTGTGTGTGTGTTTGTCTTTTTTTAAAAAGCTCTCTCCTGTCTTAACCAGCGAAGTACATAGTGTTCGGGCTGGACGGCATCTGGCCACCAGACTGAATCTTTTAGTACAGCAGCATTTTGATCTGGCTTCAACCACTATAACTAACATCCCTATGAAGGTAAGATGGTGCCAGCAGCTTTGTGCCAAACCAGCTGCACCATTTCTTTTAAATTTGTTTAATGGTTTTAATATTTATTTTAATTGAATTTTTACATTTGTTTTTTTCTCTCCATATCACATTTTTTTCTGTTTTTTTTATTAGCCCACATTCAATGTCTGTGACCAGGTTAGTAAATTTTATGAAAGAGAACAAAGGATCACAGAACAAACGGCCATCCTAGCTTTTCAGCAATCCAATCAGTTTTAAAAGTCGTACTTCCTCCCCACCTCATTTTATGTAAATGTATCCCATTTTGCTTCAAATTCCTTTGTCTGTGATTCTTTTGTTTTTATACATGTTTTAGAAACTTCTGCCCCCTTGTGCATTTTAGTGGCATAGTGAGCCTTTCATTCCTCTGTGTCATTTCCATGCCCTCCCAACATAAAGGTGTTTGTAACAAATAGTAACCAGTGGGAGTAAAAAATTAAAAATGATTTTTTTTCTCAAGTTATTTAGTGCTGTTTCAACAAGAAGTGTAGGAAGAAGAAAGGAATTTCAAAGAGATTGAAATGTGGTATTTTACCCATAGAGAATGGACACTCTCCCTTCTAAGAGCACAGTCTTAACTCAGAAGTACAGTCCATTGTGTTTAGTGGGACTTACTCCTTAGTAAATGTGTTTAGGATTGCATCCTTGGATTATTTTTGCTATTGGCTTCATTATCTCTGTATTGGCCATCAGATATTCCAATTATACAAATTTTAATTGTATACACTGTAATTGGGCACTAGTATGAAAAAAGAATTTTTTAATTATCTGTATGAAAAATAAAAAAAAGAATGCACAAAAGGAAAAATGTTATAATACTAATAGCAGTGCTCTTTGTACAATATTAATTGTACTGCCTGGATGATGTAAGCTAAAAAGCAGCCAATAAATTATTTTTAAATGATATGCTCTGGCCATTTTAACTAAACTTAATTGGACCATTGCATACAACTTTTTATATGTGCAAATACCTTGTTTGCAATTTACTGACCTGTGTGCTGCTGGTATGCCACTCTTTCTTCTTGCCTTTTGTTCTTAGTAGTAATAGTATATATGTTGGGTTCCCTGTGTATTTTTCATAAAAACCAAGTTCTATGGTGATTTATTTTGCCAGTCTGCCATCCATGATGTTTGCTAATTTGCCCCAGCTGTTTAAAGATGCTGTTTCCTTTTGCTTTTACCCTTATGCATGCAGTTTGAACCACAGTAGCTGTTAGTCTTCAGCTGTGGAAGCCAGATAAGACTATGTGGCTTCTCTTGTTAACCTGAAGTGAAACAAGAAATTCCATAAAATGAAAAATGGCCGTACTTGCTGATGGTTGTTCTATTACCATAACCATTCTTGTTTGCTTAGGAAATGAAAGTGCTTCTCTGTTGGAAAACTTGTCTCTGGATAGAAGTGGGTGCTGGATATATTTTTATATTGTATCCATAATTAATTCTTTGTAAAGAAATTGAAGTGACGGCAAGGCTATAGAATAAATTTAATTTGGCTTTTTCAATATAATTTTCATAGTCTTTAAGGCTGTATACAGATGTGGTAGTAAGCTCTGTCCCGAATCTGAGTAAACGAGAATAGGATGGTTCTACATATGATGTTAAGCTTCTATATTTTAAAAATATTTCCGCAAGCAAATAAGTTTCTCAGAAGTCTAATTTTTATGTTATATAAGGGTGTTTTCCTTTCAGCTATTTGTGTTGTAAAGCAAAATGTAGAGTTATCTGTGTGAATTATTTTTAGAAAAACTGATGAACCTTCTAAAATTGTTTAATTGTTTATTTTTATCGTGTTTTTCTTTAAAAGGAAGAACAGCATGCCAATACATCTGCAAATTACGATGTGGAGCTGCTTCATCACAAGGAAGCCCATGTAGATTTTTTAAAAAGTGGTGAGTGGGGAAATAATTCAGGTTGTTATATCTGAAATGTAAAAAGAAAATAGCTAGTCTTTACTCTTCAGTGTTGTATTTAAAGATTTTTTTTGCTTACTTGTACAAGAACAAAAATCGTATGCGATTGGTGTCCACAGAGTTTCTTGCAAGAGACAAAATTCATCCTTCAGGCTTCCAGCTCTAACTGTAGCCCTCCTCAAACCCTATTCCTTGGTCTCAAGGGCTCTTTCCTTGGAGAGTCCAAGGGTTTATGATATGAGCGAGAAGTAGAAAAGCTGTGTTTCACGAGTGGCACTACCTGCAGTTCTCTAAATTTAGTCCAGTTACAGTTCCTGTTAATATTATTTTGGATGTATTAATGCAATAAAAATTAGAGTATATTGGGAACAGTAGTTTTATCCACATGGTTGATTCCTGTTTTTCCAGCTGAACATTTAGTTACATTCTTTAGTTCTGTTAGTTGAAGTACTTAAGTGATACTTGATACCTGACCCAAAAAGGGTTTGTAGTGGAAACAGCGCTTTTTAATCTCACTGATTTCAGTGGATGAAAATTAAGTAAATGTACTAATGCTCTAAATGAAATAAAGGGTACTTAAATGTGTTTAGTGTTGTACCAGATCATTATCAAAACACTTAGAACAACAGGGAACTTATGCGAGGCTGTTGTTTATGGATTATAACTCTGCTTTTAATACCATTCTACCAAATAGGTTGTTTTTTAAAATGATCAGCCTGGGATTACCTCAGAAGATTTGCATGTGGGTAAAGGACTCTGACAGATAGGCCACAGTCAGTAAGGATGGGATCCCACCATTCTTCTATCCTGGTACTAAGTACAGGAGCGCCCCAGGGCTGTGTGCTAAGTCCCTTCCTCTATTCCCTGTACACACATGATTGCACCCCACTGTATAACACCAACACAATTATTAAATTTGTGGACAATACGAAAGTGGTGGGCCTCATAAACAAGAACAATGAGTCTGCTTATAGAACGGAAGTACAAGGGTTGATACTCTGGTGTAAAGAAAATAATCTTACACTTAACAAAAAAACCTCATAATTGATTTTAAGAGGAAGAGAAATGTACATTTACCACTGTACATAAATGGCGAGGAAGTAGAGAGAGTTGGTAGTTTTAAATTTCTGGGCACTTACATCTCAGAGTGTGACACAATTCAGAGATTGTGTCTGAAAGAAAACAGTGGGGAAAAATGAATAATTTTAACTAGACCATTCATATAATTAAAGATTTAGAAGGTAGAGAGTTGGGGGGAAACGAGACTGATGATCCAGCTAAAATGTTGAAGGAAGCTTCATCACCTTTGAAGGTGAAGATGAAACTAGCAATAATGTTTTTGTGACAGGCACAGTGAGAATTTTAAATACATGAGAATTTTAAAAAATTATATATTTGTTTCCATTTGTATGCTCCCTTTCTCCCAGTTAAGGAACTCAAGGTGGATGGGAATGACTAGTGTTTGTCTTAAGTTGTGTAACTTGCCATGGCTAATCGTAGCTAATTGAGAAGATGCCTGGGTACATCTCACCTATGCAGTTAGGCTTGTGACAAAGCATTGAATAGAGGCATGCCCCAATGCCTCATCAGTCAAATTGTACAAACCTCATGTGAACACTAGTAACATTGAGAGCAAAGAACTCCCACAGACATATAGTATGCATAGAAAAGTAAATTGGGAGCACAAAGCGCTGAACTAAAATGAACACTTAGAGTTTTCTTGGTTCTGTAAGGCAACTCAACATCATATAAAACATCTACATAGCACTGCCAGTGTGTTGATTGAACTAGGACTGAACCTTGGACTTGCACAGTAACAGAAGAGAGGGAAATCTCTCAATATCTGAGCTGTAGAAAGTTCCTGAAATAGCATTTCACATATGTATGTAAATTCACAGGTGACAAATCAGAGAATTATAATCACATACAAGCAACTTGCTCATTCAAAAGGAATAGGGTTTCTTAAAATTTGTTCATTCTTGAAATGGTACCTAGCAATAATATTTTTGTGACAGGCACAGTAAGACTATGTAATAGGTTGTGACAATCTTTAGTGCCACGCCTTACTAATTGTTATCACTTTTTGTTCATGAATTAATTATATTCCTTTCTCTCTGTCTTTGTGTTGCAGGTGATAATCATATGTCTGCTGGTAGCAAAGAGGGCCCCTGTAAAGAAACTGTAACTTTAAAATGGTGTACGCCAAGAACAAACAGTGTTGGTAGGAGTTCTGTTTTCTATTGCAAAGATGTCTGTATATGTCATAATGTCCAGAGAGTGCTTTTTATTTATCTTTCCCCCTCTCCTGGAAGATACTAGTATTTGGAGAACATAAATTGCAATACAGTGGTGCCTCGCTTGACTACATTAATTCATTCCAGCGAAATCGCTGAAGAGCAAAAACATCATCAAACGAAATTAAAAAAACCATTGAAATGCATTGCAAACCGTTCAGTGCGTTCCAGTGGGCTGAATACCTGCTCGTCCAGCGAAGATCCTCCATAAGGCGACCATTGTCGGTGCCTGTAAAGCGAGGAATCTGTCCTAGAAAACAGCAGGGGGCCATTTTCTTCAGCCGGCGGCCATTTTGAAACCTGACAATCAGCTGTTTGCTGATCGTCGTAAAGCAAAAATAGGTTTCCGAAGCAGGGAACCCATCATTGCACAGCGAAAAAACCCCATTTAAAACATCATTTTGTGATCGCAAAAACTTCGTCGTGAAGCGGATTCGTCATTATATGGGGTGATCGTCCAGCGGGGCGTGGCTGTACCTTGTAAGACAGCCAGGAGACTTGTATGATACACATTTGTTTCAGGTATGATAGGTTATTCATAATGCTTCATTGCTTTGAGGTCCTTCTGTATGCCTCAGAGCTCTTCATTAAAACTAGATATTCTCTGAGAGTTTAAAAATTATCAAACATATATTATGGTGAATTGATGTATGATGAATAGATGATATGCAAGCTTACATGAAAGTGGAACATGAATAGATAAGTTTTAAATATTATGAGAGCAATATGTATGGTCTTCAAGTAATATTGAAAACCTACAAGAAATAACAGCACAAAACATTTAGAGGCTTATGTATATTGTCTGGGGAAGTAAGGATAGCTTCCTGTTTGTATAGAAGTGGATGACATATTCTTTCTTTCTTTACACGTCTATCTGCACAAACATGTATCAGCAGCAGTGCTTTCCTTCAGTTCCACTCAAATTATAATATATGCTGTTTATTTATTAGCAAAGAGGTTAACAGTTTTACTTTGAGGGTATTAATTTTTTTTCCAGACTGTGGAGTTGCTATTATATTCTGTAGTGTTATCAAATGACCCTGTCTTTCACTCCTCCCTTTTTCTTCCACTTCAGAACTACATTATTGCACTGGAGCATACAGAATATCACCTGTAGATGTGAATAGTCGACCTTCTTCTTGCCTTACTAATTTCCTTCTTAATGGTAAAATACTTTTCTGGCCCAACAACTCAGATGAAAAATGCATTGAATTTTCATTGTTGAGGACTTGGGTTGAATCAGCTACCCACATGTTCTGGGATAGGAGAATGAAGCTTAGAACTTACGTCTGGTGCAGAAGGCAGTAAGGTTTGCTGTATTACCCTTCGTATTTGACAAACAGTATGAAGTCACAGTATGATTGCCTAGGTAGGGCGTGAGTAGCAAACAGTAAGACACTAGTTGTATCTGTCTGGTCATTAGGGAATTATCTGGCAGCTCTCATGACTTTATATACCAGGACAATGGATGTTAACAATATAGGCAACAATCCAGAGGGCTAAAGTCTGTTTAGCGTGCCTTCTGAAAGAGTAACTGCTTCTGGAAGTCTTTGTAACTCAGGTAGACTGTTTGTTTTTCTATAATAATTTTGTGAAAGCCTGAAGTGTGTTTCTCAAGCAAGTAACGAATATTGTTAGTCCTAAAGTGACACCATTTGTTACTTAACCTCTACCTCCAATGATTCAGATTCAAAGATTTTTGCTGTAATGTGGTTTTAAAAAACTTTCTGAAGTACAACACTGAATGGACATTCCTAATGAAATTCATGCTGTGCTTCTTAAAGCTTCAGAAACCCTCTTTAGGAATGTGTCAGGTGGGATTATTTTCCGAAAAAAAGAATTAAACTGATGAGGAATAAATAAAACAATGATAGATTTTTTTTTCATAAAAGTTCTGTGTTTGGTTTTAATATTTTAATGTAGCACTTTTCTCGTTGATGGTGTACTAGTGTGTGTTATTAACATATATGTACACATTAAAAATAGGATTTGCGTGAGAAATGTTGACCAAACAACCTTGTAACTTGGGGGACAAATTTTATTTGAGTTTATTCAAGATCTATTCTTAATTGTAAAAAAACAGAAGCAAGATTTTTAATCATTATTCCTAGCTTTATATAAGCTGCTAATACAGTGGTGCCTCGCTTAACGAGCACACCGTATAACGATGAATTCGCATAGCGATCCCTTTTTTGGGATCGCTAATGTGAAGGCATCCCAACCGCCGCAATGGGCAAAACTCACATTGCGACGCCTGCGGATCAGCTGTTCGGCAGTTTCAAAATGGCCGCCGGACGCCCAAAATGGCCGCGCGCAGCGTTTTCGCACCCTGCCCTCACTTACCAAGGGAGCGAAAATGGCTGCGGATGGGGAAAACTTAGCTTAACGGTGAGTACAGAAGCCATTGGAACGCATTAAACTAAGTTTAATGCGTTCCAATGGCATTTTCCATCCCGTTTAGCGATGTTTTCTTAACATCGTTATGCGGGGCACCACTGTACAGTAGTGCCTCGCATTGCGACGTTAATTCGTTCCGCAAAAATCGCTGTTGAACGAAAACTTCGCTATGCGATATTAAAAAGCCCATAGAAACACATTAAAACCTGATTAATGCATTCCTAGGGGCTTAAAACTCACCGTTCAGCGAAGATCCTCCATAGCGCGGCTATTTTCGGTGCCTTTTAAGCGAGGAATCCATCCCAGAAAACAGCGGGCGGCCATTTTGAAACTGCCGATCAGCTGTGCAAAAATGGTCGCTTTGCGATGATCGGTTCCCGAAGCAGGGAACCGATCATCGCAAAACAAAATTCCCCCATAAGGAACATCGCAAAGCGATCGCTTTTGCTATTTCAAAAAGTTTGTCGCAAAGCTATTTTGTCGCTAAACGGAGCTCTCGCTAAGCGAGGCACCACTGTTTTTATACTTATAATAACCTGTGGAATCTCATGTTTTGCGTTTACTTAAGAGTCTGGTATTGGATTGATGATAATGGTGATAACAATTATTCTACTAATAATGATGAATTATCAGATGATGAATTAACATGTAAGACTGCCAAGTAAGTGCTGAAGATGTTTTTCTTTCAATAGGTCGTTCTGTATTGTTAGAACAGCCACGCAAGTCTGGCTCTAAAGTAATTAGTCATATGCTTAGTAGCCATGGAGGAGAGATTTTTCTTCACGTGTTAAGCAGTTCTCGGTCCATTCTGGAAGATCCTCCTTCAATTAGTGAAGGATGTGGTGGCCGAGTCACAGACTACAGGATTACAGTAAGATTCTCTCATATGTGATATGTGTGTTTGAGGTTCTTTTTGGTTTTAGTCATTATTTTGTTAAATGGTAAAATCAGCCAAAGTCTTAGTATCATAGAGGTCAATTCATAATAAAAGGGCAAGTAGAAAAGGAATCTGGGCAAAGAGGAAAATTCAAGAAAAAACAATGGACTGATTCCTTCCCTTAATGATTAATGGAATAGCCTGACATTTGGTGGCCATTTGCTTAGTTTTGAATAATCATTTAATGGATAGATGTCATGATGACCAACAGTTTTTGTGGAACCGTGGCAACCTTATTGAGTGCAATGAAACTTAAGTCTGCTCTAAAAACAATTTGTACAATGTAATTCAGAACATCCACAATGCTGCTTGAAGCATGAATAGCCCTTGTGGGTTTGCATTGGTTTAACAGAAAAAACAACTGGCCTGCCTTTTAGAAAGTTAACTCATGAATAATTCATAGTTTCAAAACTTAATTCATATATGAACTTTTTGTAAAACTGTATCACTGGTCAATTATGTTGAATATCATTTAAATCTGTTTAAATTGAATTGGGTGTTGTATTGAAAAAGATGTGAAGTTTGTAAAGATGTTATATCATGAAATTATACTCAGAAAAAAGATCTAACTTTATTTTATTCACCTGTTTAGGATTTTGGTGAATTTATGAGGGAAAACAGACTTACTCCTTTTCTAGAACCTAGATACAAAAGTGATGGAAGCATTGAGAGTCCTTTGGAGCGAGCAAAAGATCAACTAGAAAAGCATACTCGTTACTGGCCCATGATTATTTCCCAGACTACTATATTTAACATGCAAGCGGTAGGTCATCATCAATAGTTTTAAACCATACACCTTATTTACTTGAAAGCAGGTGAATCTAATTTCATTTTGGCTTGCTTTCAAGTAGATATGGCTGTGAACACATGTGATAGCAGGATCCAGTGGAGGTATTAACACTGATGGAATTGTTTCTGGTGTTCTTGTCTAATTTTACCACCTCTGACACACCCCTAAAACCTGCCCCAGAGGGCTGGGGAAATCTTGCAGAGCAAGGGTTTAGGAGGGAACAGCAGAGGATAGATGGGGGAAAATGTCTGGCTGTGTTATTGGTCGTCATACACTCTCACTCTGATTATAATGTTTCCTTTGGAATCTGTAGAATTAATGCTGCAGAAAAGTACATCAGTATTCCTTCACCCCTTCGGTACCTAGACAAGACATTTCATTCTCTTCCACTTTGGTTTTCTATTTTTTAGCTTTTGAACTGATCGGATACTTAGTACTTGAATATCAGTTTCTAAGGTCCTTACAGGACTGTTACGGAGTGAGCCTTGCTTCTTGTAAAAGAAGCTTTATATCTTTATAAACCCTGGGGTTCTTCAGACACCTCTTCATTGTTTCCCTTTTTCCTTGTTTGGCTCAGTTTCCACTTGAACTGGGGCCTTGAGTTCAGTATTAGATGGCATAGATTTTATAAGGGTCTGTTGTTTATAGCATCAGTTAGAATAACATCCTGTCCTCATCTTCTGATTCTGTTGTCTGTATCTTTTTTGGAATTGCTGTGTTTCTAAATCACATGTGGAACTTTAGCAACTTTAGACAAGTATAAATATTGGGCAATAACTTGTTTAATTCATCAGTACAGGAGGGTGCTATGTATGCTAACAGATTCATAAAGGCTATCTATAGTCATATCTTCCTCTTGCAGGTAGTGCCATTAGCCAGTGTTATTGTGAAGGAAACATTAACAGATGAAGATGTGTTAAATTGTCAGAAAACAATTTACAATCTAGTAGACATGGAAAGGAAAAATGATCCACTGCCAATATCAACAGTTGGAACACGAGGAAAGGGTCCTAAAAGGTAGGGTTTTTTTAAAATGGTACCCAACTTCAGTTGTATATCTAAAGTAGATACTTATCCATCTCCACTGTTTTTGGTTTATTTTTACAATGCAAAGCGCTATGTATAATACAGGAGTTAAATAATAATAATAATTTGGATAGATTAGTGCAATATCCCATTTATCCATAGATCACTGTCTATCTCAGAGTAGGCTACTAAAATGGTTCCAGGTGTGCTTGATAGAAAGGAAGATGAAATAGGTATTTGAGATCTTTTGATACTTTTGTTAATTAAGATTGAGCTCATTTTTGTTTGCTTGTGCAGGGATGAACAGTACAGGATTATGTGGAATGAACTGGAGACACTTGTTCGAGCACATATCGCCAACTCGGATAAACATCAGAGAGTCTTGGAATGTCTCCTGGCTTGTAGAAGCAAACCTCCTGAAGAAGAGGAGCGCAAGAAGCGAGGGAGGAAGAGAGAGGACAAAGAGGACAAAGTAGAGAAAACAGGAAGAGATTATGAATCTGAAAAATCATGGCAAGAATCAGAAAGGTGAGTTTTCAGCATTAATAGTATTTCAGTTTTTAAATTTGTATAAGTGCTATGAATGTAGCACTAGTTCTTCCTTCCTGACTGCAAAGGGAGAAATCAGGGTAAAATTTAGTCTGTTGCAAGGAGATGCTAGCATAAAGTTACCATCCCAAATAATCTGCAGAGTGTTTAATTGTCAGCAGAGGGAACATGTGCACTATATTAATCCCTCTGCTTTTACATAGGGCTCATGCTAGCACCCAAAATCAAGAGTTGTTTGAGTAATGGGTATTCTGTAGTTGCCTGGCAAACGTAGGCCAAAATCTTGTGCAGTTCTACCTGTGCAACAAGCGTGATAGCAGCAGCAGATTGCCAGTGATTAAAAATTTCTTTGTGCAGTTTTGGAATACACACAGCTTTGTTGCATAGCGTGTGAGCTGTATGTAATCTAAAGTCCTGTTTTGTGGGTGTGTCCACTTATATTACTGACAGGATGTCTAAATTTTTATTGATTGCTATGAGAACTAGAGATAAAATGTTGCAATCATTTCAACATGAAAGAAGGATTCATGTACTCCATATAGGAATTTTCTGTATGTTCTGTCTTTTTATAATCTTGCTGGTCTGTGACTGTAATAAAGAATGCTGATGATGAAGCCGCAAAAGGAAGCCTTTAATCCAGGGATCAGGGAACTTTTTTACCTCCCCCCCAAAAAATGTTTTTTATATACACCGACATTACCCCTGAACTTTTTTACCTTCCCCCCCCCCAATTTTTTTTATATACACCGACATTACCCCCGTGATTCGAAAGGAAGGAAATCATACATTATTTGAATTCAAAATATTATTGAATCTACACAGGCTGTGTACTGAACTAGCAGGATATATCATCAGTATCAATGGCTGCCAGGCTATGTATCGAACTAGCAGGATGCACTAAATTTAATAAAGATGTACACTATTTTTGCTAGAACACATTGCACTCCAGCCATGGGGTGGTATAGGGAGTAGTAAGATGTCCAACGTGCCTAGCAAGTTGCATTAAATTTATGCTAGCTTGCAGAGGATTTAATCATCATCAGTGGCTGCCAGAGTGGTGCTAGTAATGATGTGCTTTCTAGAGACAGCCAACACAGAGTTGGGTGGGGCTTTTCCTACCACTTTAATCATTCTGTGTGTGGTGTGCAAAAAGGAACAAACCAGGCTAAAGGCCATGTCACCCACCCTGGTGCCGCAGCCCAGTATCAAAGGACCAGTGTGCTTTTTTAAAATTATCATCAATGGAAAACTCAGCAGTGGCCAGAGGACTGGTAAAGATTAGTCTACATCCCAATCCCAAAGAAGGGCAGTGC